GGTAGCAAATCACACTTACTGTTGCTTTGTTTGATGTTAAAAGTATGCGGAAGAAGGAGGAGAAACTCAGAAAATCGTATCGAAATTCTGAGCTGAATAGTCTTGTATTTATAGCCAAAGTTGGGCTGAAATCTGAAGAGGTGCAACTCTTCAGAATGGTTGTTTATACAAAACGGCCACAACATAAATGCCATAACATAAATGGCTATTTACTCAACAATAAAGAGGGAAAATAAAGAGGGAAAATTGAAGAGGGTAGTTAATTTTCTGTTACCAAAACAGAAAAACGGAATCAATCAATCGATTGACCGAAGCCGAAGCCGAGGCCGAGCGAGCGACGACGACGACGGCGCAAGGCTTGCCTTCTTCTCAACTCTTTAAGAGCTAGAAGAAGAGCAATTGCTTATATACCCATAAAAAACCTCTTTCTCTTCCAATATGGGACAATGTCCCTTTACCAAGGGGGAAAACTTAAAATTTCACTCAAAAATTTTATTTCCCTCCATTTCCCATTCACCCTCTTTTAAGTATTTAAATAGTTAAATACATAAAACCCACTAATTATTCCACATAAAATATTGATTTTTTCCCATTCAAATGTTCACATGCGTCTGATAACTCTATTTTTTAAATAATTTTTTATTACTATTAAGTGGAGGGGAAGGGAAAATAGAAAGAGAATTAATGTATCAGTAAAAACAGTATGGGCTAGCCAGTTTTTCGATTGGTAATTAAAAAATAGTCAATATTTACAAAGTCATTGAAAAATAGTGAGATAAAATCTGGACAAAAATACGCTAGCTGAAACACAGAAAGTTCCAGCATAATATGCTAGATTATATAGCTCATGTGTATAAACTTCCAGCATATTATGTCGGAACTCCGGCACATTATACTAGAATCTCATATAAAAAAAAAATCGATCACCAACATATTACGCTGGAATTTTTTGAATTTTTAAGATTATTTTTGTTCAGATTTTATTTTTACATAAAAAAATCATTAATTCCGATTACTTTGAAAATTGTGAATATTTTTCAATTACTAGTTATAAATCAGGCTATTTATAATTCCCCCTCCCCCAATTTATGACACCATATGAGATACTTTCGGACCCCTGGTAACTCTAGTTGGACAATGCATCGATGTAATTAGGGGTGTCAATGGATATTCGAAAACCGACTAAATCGACCGAACCGTACCGTACCGAGCCGATTTTTAGGTTTCTTTTAAAGAAACCGTAGATTTTTATATAAATCTATAACCGCTCCGATAATTAGGTAGGTTTTTTATTTTTTAAAAATAAACCGAAAATTTACCGAACCGTACCGAATAAATTTTACATGTGGAAAATATATTTATATAGTAAGTTTAAAAATAATATAAAATTTTTTGGGGGCTTGGAATTATGAAAACTTTTATAAGACAACGAGTAATTAAATGCAAAATACTAATTCCTAAAACCTATTACGCTATTTCTACTTAAACTTCATTAGCAAGACACAAAGTATTCTAGCGATTATGAGTAGCAAACTACGATGTATGGAATATATTTCCTTTCATATAATTTGGATATATAGCAAGAGACAATGTATTAAATATAGACTTTATTCTTGAGTCCCAGCTTGGTTAATATCTTTCCACTCGTGTATTTATATTTTCTTTGTCTTTTACGTTGTTGTAGAATAGTTGATGGATCTATAGTCTAGCCATCTTTCATTTTTTTAATTCATCAGTTTAAACAGTAAAAATGTCTAGAGAGTTTTTCTAAGTCCTATAAAAAAAACACCGAATTTTATATTCTACTTCTACTGATGAATTTAATATGATATTTAAAAAAATACCGAAAATTAACCGAACTGTACCGATACCGAAGAGAAACCGACATGATTGAGACGGTTTCAAAAAGTCTAATTTTGGTTATGCATAATAGAATAACCGAAAAATTGGTATGGTACGAATTTTATAAATTAACCGGCCGAACCGAACCATTGACACCCTTAGATGTAATTGTCCAATTGATTTAATTACCTATTGTAAAGTAGTTGCTAGAAAAAATGAGCAGATAATATATTTGGCAAGTAGCTCGGAAGGAAATAATCAGAGAACGTATAAAATGGCTGTTAGTTTAACAACTTCAATTTTAAATAATTTTACCTTATTTTGCAAGTTGAAATTTGTCCTACGAGTATCAAAAAATATTTGAACTTCAATTCAAAATATTTCAAGTTATTTTAAACTTTAATTTCAATTCTTTCAATTTCAATTGAAATTACTAGTACTGTGTCTCATATGACATGTCATATTTGTACGAGGCATTCAATGTTTGTAGTCGTTGTTATCACTATTACACTAGAAACTGATTATTTAATTTAGAGCCCAAATAACAGTTCCATTTTATGTGGTGAAAATAGCACGGGGTAGCTATTTTCGGAATAGTAATCGAAAAATAGCCAGCATTTGCAAAGTCATTGAAAAATATTTATTGTTTTGCTGAAACACGAGTTCAAGCATATATGCTGGATCATGGAGCTCCTGCGTATAAACTTGCAACATATTATGTTGGAACTGCAGCACACGGAAAGTTCCAGCATAATATACTGGATTATGAAGCTACTGCGTTTAAATTTTCAGCATATTATGTTGGAACTCCAGCACATTATTAAATTCCAGTACATTATGCTGGAATCTCATTTGTAAAAAAAATCTAACTCTAGCGTATTATGCTGGAATATTTCCGTATTTTTAAGGGTGTTTTTGTTCAGATTTTATCTTTACATGAAAAAATGGCTAAAATTCGATTACTTTTGAAATTGCAGCTATTTTTCAATTACCCGTTAGTAAATTTGGCTAGTTTTGATTTTTCCCTTTTATCATGGTGTAATAGAATGGTGGAAAAAAAATTAGTACAGGGATCCGTATTAAATTTACCTCAAAAGTTCTTTATAAGGCTGTAATTAATTACTTTTACGTTCCATAATTTTAGTCCAGAATTTATTTCCTTTGGGTGTATCCAAGATTTAATACGATTTTCTCAATCTTCTTACTACCTTATTGGTTGTCAGTTACATATTCATTTAATTTGGCTATTTATATGACATGAAACCTTAACATACAATCACACCAAAAAATGACAATGGCAAGAGGAAACACAAAAAATAACGTTGTTATTCTAATTTGCTTCATTTCACTTGTTGCATTTTCATGCTTTGCTAGTGTTGCTAATGCCAAATATATAAAATTTCCGCCACCTTTTAATGTTGGGACAGGACCAGCCATTCCGGCTAACCCTTATAACAGAGGTTGCAGTCCTTTAACTCGTTGCCGTGGTGGTGATTCGGGCGGTACCCCGGGCAGTGGCCCTTAACTCTATGGTTTCAGGTTCTAGCCATGAGAATATAGCGTTACACGAATGGATTCTTAATGTTTTTTATTTTTTAGTTTATTATTTTCGTTTATCTATGACAAATCACTTTATTGAAATGTAACAGTGAAGTATCAAGTATCAATTTATATATAAGATTAACACAAGATGTTGATTCTTGATTTAGCGTCTTTCGTTATAAGCTATTTTCCTTTCAAGATTATTTCTCTTTTTTTTTTTTTTTATGTGAAAAATCACTGATAGGAATTCTTTAAAAATTAAGTGTAATGAGATCAGTAAAAAAAAACACATTTTTATAGATCATTTCTTATTTAATTTGTAATTGGTCGTATAAGATCATTTCCTCCGCCCAAAAATTTTATTTGATGAATTTTTGAGCACTCGTGACCTTTAAATTTTGGATCCGCTAGTAATTTTGAGACCAGGAAAAACAAATAGTAATCTCTAACCAAGATTTCTAAGGATTTCCTCAAAGTTCGTACAACCTTAGGCTATTTACATACTAAATTTAATGGAATTGAAAGGTTAATATTCATTAGAGCTTTCTATATATTGTCCTAGTACACAAATTAAACAACACCACAAAGAAAATATGGCTAAGACAAGAGGGAATAAAAACAATGTTATTCTTGTTCTATTCTTCATTGCACTTGTTGCGTTTTCAACCACAGCAGAGGTTTCAAACAACAAGAAATTTATAAAGTTTCCACCATCTATGGAACATGGGGCTGAAAAAACAAGAACTCCAGCTAACCCTTATCACAGAGGTTGTAGTCATTTAACTCGTTGCCGTGGCAATCTAGATCGATGGCCACGGCAAAAGCCCCTAAAAAGGTCGGATTTAAGTTATATACACTGAAAGTGTAAAGATTATTTACACTATGAGTGTAATTTAATATGTTAATAACATACTATTACTTACCATTTATTTTAATCAGACAAGGGAAGGAAGTATGGTTTCTGGATGAGCCAAGCAAATCAATAGCAATTGTATATGAAATAAACATGAGTAACAAATCATTTTATCTAGTTGTAATGATATGGCAGCAATTGAATATGAAATGAATATGAGATATTGATCCTTGATTAATACATATGCTTTTCTTTACCATTATCTTAATTTATTTGCAAAATCCTAGTTAAGACATAACCTTACTCGTCATTCCTGATACAACTGTAAAAAAAGGTAGCCTGGTGCACTAAAAGCTCCCCTATGCGCGGGGTCCGGGAAAGGGCCGGACCACAAGGCTCTCCCGTGACCTCAGGGGTGAAGGTACATAACCCTAAGGGTGGTCAACTGACCACCCTTCGTCGAAAATTTACATTGTATATATAGGTAAAATATTAAATTTTAATGGTATATAACATATATTAAACACCCTTTATCGGAGATTTTTTTTACTTATTTCAAGTTTGAACGCCCTAAATGAAATTCCTGGCTTCGCCACTGCGTGACCTCCTGGTCACATGGCATGGCAGCAGCCTTACCAGTTACGCCAAGGCTCCTTCGTGATACAACTGTATTTGCAATAAATTGATTATGGATCTTCTTACCTTTTCTTTGAACAAAGCTCCTTATTCAAGCATGGCAATATGACGAGACTTTCTATCGAGACATGGTAGCAAAACATCTGGTCACACTTGGACATGTTTATATAGAAAACAAATCAAAATTCTTGTACAAGGTACTTCAGATTTGAAAGGAAAACTTAACTTTTCGATATGTGTTAATGCCTATACTACAAGATCAAATACTCCCTAATGCCTTTAGTCTGATTATCCGAGAGCAACAGTGGCATAACATTTCTCGTTAAATTATCATTCAGCAAAAGAAAAGGAACCTTACCTTTCACTTTCTTAAGGAAATGAATTTGCCACTAAGCTCGAAATGTTCCATTACTAGTAAGTTTCAAATGCAAGATCAATATGGCTGCAACTCCAGCCTTTGTATGGCCAACAAGACCGAGTTTTTAACATCGGTGCTCGGAGCTCCTGAGATTCCACAGTCCAGCTGAAGACATAACTCCATAAGCTATCCAAACAAACTTGGCGGCCTTTTACACAGAACGAGTAGCAAATCCCCTATCGATCATCTTTTCCACCAATTCTTCGTGCTTCCTTAGTTGCCCCGATTTCCTTAGTTGTTTTAGAACCATGTCATAAACCGACTCACTTGGTCTCAAGCACTTGTCCTCGATCATCTCTTTAAAATATTTGTAAGCATTATTCCAATGTCCCATCCCACAGTACATCGAAATCAGAATCTTGAAAGTGTTCACATTAGGCTCCACTTCATTCTCACCCATTTCCTTCCAAAGCTTGATAACCATATCAGTTGATTTCGAATCAGCAAACATCTTCATCAATATATTGTACGTTACTGTATTAGGCTTACACTTCAACTCCTTCATCTTTGCATACAATCGATGAGCAGCATTCACATCACGAGCCTTAGCAATGCACCTAAAAATAGGGTTAAAGGTAGAAGCATTTGCTTCACATCCTTTCTTAACCATAACGTTAACCACCTTAAGAGCTTCATCGCGATTCTCATCCCTACAATGAGCATCAATCAAGAAATTATACGTAATAACATCGGGAGAGCACGATAGCCTCTTCATCTGATTATAAACCTGCAGCACCTTCTCCGTCCTCCCTGCCTTCACATGGACGCGCATAAGGTTATTAAATGTAATCGCATTAGGTTGACAACCCGAATCAATCATCTCCGAGAAAACATCATAGGCTCGAGTAATTTGCCCGCCCCTACACAAAGCATCAATCACAATACTATAAGTATACACATTAGGCTGCACCCCTGCCTCCTTCATTTCACGAAAAATCCTCTCTGCCTCGGATATATTACCCGCCCGACACCAACCATGAACCAAGCTAGTGTACAAAACAACATCAGCCTCAAATTTATCCTTCAAACTATCAAAAAAAGATTGTGCTTCTAATGCCCTTCTTTTCTTACACAATATCCCTATAACAACAGAAAACGCATTCCTATCGGGCTTACAATCATAATCCTCCATTCTATTAAACGTATGAACAGCTTCAGAAGCAAGCCCGGCCCGAACATAACGACGAATCAAAATCGAAAAAGTTTCAATAGGAATTTTCACATTTTTCAGTTTCATTAAATCTATCAAATGCCAAGCAACATCAAATTGGCGTACTTTACCAGAAAGATCTATCATTTCGTTGTAAGGCTCAGGGTTTAGGAAATATCCACGCGCGTCACGAGCTGCAGCCCAGTTGAAGAAAGCTAAAGCCTGTGAAAATGGAATGCCGTGGCGAACCGACCCACATTTTTCAATGACCCGGTTTACGACCCGCGGAGAAATGGGGCGGTTATCGAAGGTTGTAGAGAAGTCGAAGGAGAGAGTAGGGAGAGTGACGTTAGGGTTTAAGGTGGGGATAGGTGCAGGGTTTTTGCGGTGATGGTCTTTGATTAAAGAATGAATCTTTTCAGCTATTTCAGCTTCTTCTGTGGATAATAGCTCAGTTGGGCAAGTGGGTTCGCCGTTTATGACGGCGGCGTCGTCGACGTCGATGTCGGCGGCGGCGAACTCTGAGGTGGAAGCAGAGGTGTAGGGTTTGAATTTGCTCTGAGAAGAGAATGGACTGAGGAAATTGCGAGAGAAATTCAAGCGTAACATGGATTTTGTGACGGCCATAGCTTCCAGTTTGCTGATGGATTCAGTTGTGCTCAATAATTTGATGCTTACTGTTATTAACCTCTTTTTATGTGTCTTTTTTCTTTTTTTCTTTTTGTTGCTTTTTGTAACCCTAATTTTATTTTAAATTTATCACATGCGATATCACCAATTTACTTTGGCACGCTCGTTAAGAAAAAATACTAAATTCTATATAAAAATATCTAGTATGACTAACCTATACTTAATTAAATATTTAATATATGAGGAGTAAGAAAACTTTTTAGGAATATGTACATAAGGGTAATTTTAAAAACAAATTGAATTCTTTCTTGATTATATAAATGAACACTTATTTTGGACCAAAATAAAAAAACAAATTGATCACTTATTATGGACCTGAGAGGGTATATACCTTTTCTTAATTAGCCTCATTTTTATGTGACATCACACTGGTAAGGAAGTCAAAGAGATATTTCTTCGATCACAATCTGTTCAAATAATTTTGTAATATTTTGATTATATTAGGGCTGTGCATAATTTGGTAAATATTGAATTACCGTACTGAAAACGAAAATTTTGGTATTTGGTATTCGATATTTTGGTATTAGGTATGGTATATGATTTAAGTTTAAAAAAATATTGGTATTAGGTATGGTATTTTAAAATAAAATATCAATACCGTACCGAAATATATATTATATTACACAATACACATATTATTAGTTATAACATAAATATAAAAATCTAAAATTTTACTTTCCTTTATTCTCTAAGTTCATCAATTAACTCTAAATAAACTCTAAGTAAGTAATAAAACATTTCTAATGATCAAATTTATTCTTTTATGTACAATTTTCTCTCTCTAAGTTGATATTTGCTAGTTTTGGACAAAACTTTTGCCAACAAATATTTTTAGTTTTGTACTTTTGAGTACTTTAATTTAGAATATTACATTCTATGACTCTATGCACTAGTTAGTATTCAAACCGAATAAACCGAAGTTACCAAACCGAACAAACCGAAACCGAAAGGAGAAAAACCGAACCATACCGAATTTAATTAGGTACGGTATTGGTATTGCATTTTAAGAAACCGAATACCGAACATATCGAACCGAAATATCTAAATATCGTACCGACCGATGACAAAACCCCTAGATTATATTGTAGCTTATAATTGGTATTCATATTTTATACTATTATATGTAAAGTTTATATGAAAAAAACTTATATATTTGTGTTCAAACTCAATTTAAAAAAAATAGATATTTGGCTTTCATATCTGAAGTAATTTATTCATCTTTTTTTTTTTTTTTTGTGTGTGTGTGTGTAGGTTTATTTGCATTGCAACTAAGTGCTTTTTGTCTCTGTTATTTTTCTCTTTATTTTTTCCGAGTGATATTCAATTAAGGGAAGGTCCTATTTCGATAACGAGAGAAATTGAGATGTGAGAATTTTATCCATCTTCAAAAGTATGCAAAAAGGCGAATAGGAAAAAAATCCACTCTAAGGCCCCGTTTGGCCATGAGTTTTGCCAAAATAAATTTGGAATTTATTTTCAAAACTCATGTTTGGCCATAAATTTTGCCCATATTTTGGCCAAATCTCAAATCCCACGGGCCAAAATCCCAAAACTTGGGAATTATGTACATGTTTTTCCAAAATAAAGTTGAAAAATATGTTTTGAAAACGTATGTCCAAACACATTTTTATCTCCAAACTAAACTTCACCCAAATCAGATTTTTCAAAATAAATTTGGGATCTATGGCCAAACGCTAACTAAGGAGTTTGAAAGTTTCTTGAAATGTGGATTGAGGTGCTTTTCCATAAGAAAAATGAAAATCCTTTGAAAATTTTGTTTAAAAAAATCCCAATAATTGTCAAACTAGGAAATATTTTGACTATATATACGTACAATGCCTTTCAAAGTTTATCTTAAGCCTACTAAAATTATAATTCGTTCAAGATCGTCCCAACTCCCAATCCATGTAGATGATCAAGTAGGCTTCGGGGGCATATCCAATAATGAGATCACTTAGGTTATATAATAATGTTATAAAATATGCATTTAAGTTGTAATAATCCTCTTAAATTTACATTGCATCAATTGTTTGATAAAAAGAATTTTGATTATCTTTTACGAAGAAGATGTCTAGCAATGAACCAGTGAAGCTAACATCATTGAAGGATTTGCAGCCACCTTTGTCAAGGTCTAAATTGTTAAAACAACGTTATGTGAAGATCAAAGAACCAAGATTTAGTAATGGCGTTAGAGTATATTGGGAGTTGCAAAAACCTAAACATGAAGAACAAGAAGACGACGACTCGAGGGAAAAGGTTCCATGTGAAGAGTTCTTCGAGTTTATTAATGAAAACATCGTTCAATGTCTAAAATGTTGGGTCGATGGTGTTTTTGGCCCCGTTCTTGGTTTGTCCAAACACGATGATTCTTATTGTTAGGAATTTGTTGATTGATCGCATTGTAAATATTTTAAAGCTCTGGTGAAATCTCTTATGTAAGTACTTAGTTAAAGATGGATTTGTTCAATTATTTTGACTTCTCAACGTAAATACTAGTGAAAGAGATTTCACTAGAGATCTACAAATCATTCCTTTTTTTTTCTTTCTTAGGATAACTTATCTCTATTTGTTGATTATTGATAATCAGTTTTAAAAAAAAGATTCAGATCCCAACCAGCCTGGTATATAATACGTTTTCAGCTTGATATATGCATCATATATATAACATCAAACTAAATTCTATTATGAAGTGTGTCAAGATTTAATTATCGAGCGGGATTAACACTTTTTTTACAAAATAATTTTGTACGTAGCGGATTCAAGAAATTGGAAGGATGATAAGTCAATGGAAGTTAAATTAACATATGACTTACTATTCCACCCATACCTGGAAATACTTATGCCGTAAATAATTAAGGTGTTGGTAAGGTCCTCTTTCAGAAAATATTTAGAGACCGTTTGGACAATTTCTTTTTTTTTTTTGGAAATTAGCGTTTGTTCATAAAATTTTCAATTTTCACTTGAAGATCATTTTGAAAATTTGAAAAATTCCAAAAGGCTATTTTTCAAAATTTTCACTCAAATCACTCACAAAACTTCAAAAACAATCCAAACTGAAATTTATGTCCAAATACACTCTAAATTTCAAATACCATTTTCACTTGAATTTTTTTTCCATCATTTTTTAGTATTTTATAATTCTTATGTCCAAACGCCTATTTAGTCCCACCTTATGTTAAACTAAGGCCTCATTTATTTGCATTTAATGAGGGTATGAATCTGGATGAACCAGCTCTTTGTTGTTTTTTTATTTTTAAAAAGTCTGGATAGGTCTGCTTCGGTCAGACCTTTAATTGAGTCTTAATTGCGTTGAGAGGTTAAAAATACACGCCTCTTTTTTCTGTCTCTTGACATCAGGCTATTTCTTCTAAACCCAAAACAAATTTCATCGTCTCTCTCTTCAAGGATCAAGCAGCCGCCGAATGTTTTTCTGGGTAAGATTTTGAAAATTATACTTGGAATTCTCCATCTTGTTCCACTTTTCTAATGGTTAATTTCAGTTTCGAGTTTAGGGTTTAAAAAAACCCCTTTTAAAATACGATTGAGAAGGGGCTAAACTAGAAGGTTTTGCTTGCCTCTTATTTGTGTCTTGTTCTCACTTTTGGATATTCTATTTTGATTGAATCTCTGAATTTTCTGTAATTTTTATTGATTTTGTTGACATCCCGATTCTCTAAATCGTAAATCTTAATTGGGACGTGTTCTAAATTGTTAGCAATGTTTTTTTCTCTTTTGCAGATTTTCATAGCTTTTGTTTTCTTCAAGAATTGCATATTAGTGACTGAAATTCAATTTCTCTAGTTGAAATATAAACCCTAATTGGTGTTTATGAAGCTCGTCCAAAATTAAGAAACTTTGCTATGGCTAGAATTCGGATAATGAAGTTCTGTGTTGTTGAAATTAGAGCCGCTATAGTTTCATATTTGGCTAGAATTCGGATAATGTACACATAAGTAAGATTTATATTTCAGTGCTTTCTGAATATTTATGTGCTATTGCTCTTGAATTATTCGTCATATGTTACATGTTTTATAATTGAACCATGCTTTCTTTTGTTTATTCAAGAATAGCTTCTTTACTTCCTCAATTTTTTCCTATTTTGTGTTTAAGATCATACCATTTACTACATCTTTGCAATCTTCAAACAGATTATTTGCTTAGAAATATACAACTTATCTTCATAGGTGGCTCAAGGGTGAGGCTAGTAAAGCCTTCGCTTTAGGCCCCAAAAAGTGTTGTAAAATACGTAATAATATTTTGACTTAAGACAATTTTGAACTTTGTAGAAAAAAGTATAAAATTGTAAAAAAAGTTTTAAAAAAACAAAGAATATTTACTTTTTAACATAAGAAATATTCTAGAACTTCGAATTAAACTACTCAAGTCTTTGTATTAGCAAATAAAGCTTTTTACATCAAGATCCAAGGTCATGCATTGCAAACATATGGCTAACATCTTACTAATTTGAATTAACACTTGATAATATAAATAATAATAATACTAAATGAAGCTAAAAGTCATATATCTTGTATGAATACTTTACGCTCAAAATATTTTTTTGGTTACATTTCGTCACTACAATTGTTGTTACTATATATAATATTCATTTATAGTTCAAATAGTTTAACAATTGGATCTTACATAAAATATTAATTTATATCTTATAATATTTCAATTTATCTCAAATAATAACTTTTTTTGTTCAAGTTAATATTTTCACTAATTGACGTAATATTTAATCACTTTTTTTGAATTGTATGTGTTTTTATCTTGAAATATATATATATATATATATATATATATATTAATATTTTCACTAATTGACGTAATATTTAATCACTTTTTTTGAATTGTATGTGTTTTTATCTTGAAAATATTAACTTGAACAAAAAAAGTTATTATTTGAGATAAATTGAAATATTATAAGATATATATATATATATATATATATATATATATTTCTTTCTTTGTTTTATTTCCATCTTCCTGAGCCGGGGGTCTATCGGAAACAGCCTCTCTGCCCTATCGGGGTAGGGGTAAGGTCTGCGTACACACTACCCTCCCCAGACCCCACTGAGTGGGACTTTACTGGGTCGTCGTCGTTGTTGTTGTTATATATATAGTAAAAAAAAAACGATTTAACTATAGTAATCACATGAGGCCTAAATCAAACCATTTAACTATAGTAATCACAAATTAAGCAATAGTGTAGTAATTAAATAATTAAAAGCTATATGAAACATACACACCTTTCAAATTTGAGGGATACGTGGCGCCAATAAAAACCCACTCTTTTACCCGACGCATTCTTAACCTCGTATCTCTGTCTTTGAGGAAAAAAAAACTCATTCTCAAAATCCCGAGCACCTTCTTTTTTGACAAAAGGATTCCTCCATTTCAAGCATCAGATTCGCAAACACCCCCATATATATATACACACACACACACCCCTCAAACGGAGGTGATTGAAGAGTTTGAGATTTCCGTTCAATTTTCCGGTCGCCGTTCAAAACTCTGGTGTCGATTAGAAACCCCCTTATTCGATACTGTAGCAGGTTTCTATTAAAGGTCGATCTCAATTCTTACTTGTTCTTATTTCGATGTTGGGTTAAATTTTAAGCCACGTGTCCAACACGAGGCATTCATTTGAACTAATTAGAATTAGTTTCTAATGAATTACATCCTTAGTCAATTAGGGTAAGGGCAAATGTTAAAAGTTGCTAACTTTGAGTTGATTATGTCTTGGAACCTAAATGTTCATAATATGATTAAGTAGTAGGCTGTTGTTTTTGTTGCTCATTTTTCTCTTTTGGATATAACACGAAACTAGTATTGGCACTTTATGAAATGTCTGAGTTTTATTTATATAATGGATACCTTGTTATGCTAATGCATTATTCAGTTCAACAGAGATGTTGATCACATTTTTTCCTTATTCACTTGTTTGTGCTCAGCTATACGCCAAACTGGCTTATACCAATTCAACTGTTTGAAAATATGCCAGGGTATAATAAATTGCTTTATTATGTGTTACTCTATTGTAATTTTCTTTTTCTTTTACAGTGTGACTAATTTTCTTTTTTGCCACCAATTTTCTTTGTTCTGTGGTGTTTGGTTATATATTTGCTTGGAAACCTATTGTTAGCTCTTTTGAATCTTGAAATTTGAACAAACTGAATGGAACAGGCAAAATGGATCTTATTTCACAGATTCTTCTGTAATTTTCCCATTCTCCCAGCTGGAGCTCTTTCCCTACATGGCCAAATGAAAAAAGAGAAATGATTTCTCTTGGTTTTGCTCTATCTTTAACCCTATTTCTCTTGGAAAATGCTAAGTTCTTTTTTATTCTATGGTTCTATGATTGGAGTTAGATTTTGTAAGATTCATGCCAGCATATCATTGTGGTTGCAGCTACTGAAGGTCATAGGTCTTGAGAGTCCATTGGAGCTTTTCCATCATGTATTACCTCTCATAGCACGAAAGATGCACTACTTGTTTTACTTTATTTCTGTCCTTTTGGCTTTTGTTGTTAGCAAAGTAGCAAAAAAGAAAAAATGCTAATTATGCAGCTTGTCTCATCAATACATCTGACCTATGTGGTTCTGTCTTTAATGGTCTTGTGGTTGTTGTGTTTCATAGCTTTCCTTAAGAAAAACAATATTGTTCCAACTGTATGGACGTCTGTCACGTTCTTAAGAAAAGTGAGATTCACTTGTTTGATTTCTTTCACTTCACTTTATTCCACTGGCTTTTATCTTGCGAAATGTATGACATTTTGATAAAATATGCTTGTTCTAAAAGTCTTGTTTCTCTGACCCTACCAGCTAAGTCACCAAGGTGAAAGATGGCTGCTAATGTCCAAAAATTCCGAACACTATCAATCTCTATGAATCACTGTCTCAAGTCAAGATTGCTCTTGCATCATTATCGCCTCTTGCACCATGGTCCAGACACTGTGGAGGAACTATTGGATAGACACGTGGTAAAAAAGGAGAAGAGCCTAGATGATGACGAGAATGAGCGCCTAACTAGACAGCGACTCACTAGTTCTCGTCGCGAGGCTCTAAGTCTCTACCGAGACATCCTCCGGGGCACCCGGTTCTTCATGTGGCCCAACTCTCAAGGCATCCTTTGGCGGGATGTTCTCAGAGAAAATGCCCGAAAGGAGTTTGAGGAGGCACGATTCGAAAGAGATCCAGAAGTCATCACCAGATTGCTTATTGGAGGTCATGATGCTGTGCAAGCTGCTTTGGATAAGGTTGTCGAGAAACAAAAGCAAGAAATTGAAAAGCAACGTCGTAATTCAAATACTCCTTGATATTCTGGTTAGTAAGATTTTTTATTCTTTCTATAACACACTCATCAAATAGCACATCTAACACATTATCTACATTACCACATAGTGAATGACATTAGCTTCACTTCCTTTATGTGTGAGTATTGTTACATTGAATTTAAAAGCAACGTGGCAGTTCAAATACTCCTTGATATTGTTGTTAGTAAGATTTTGTTTTCTTTAACACCCTCATCGCATAGCAATTTTTTCTACATATTATCTACATTACCACATAGTGGACGACATTAGCTTCTCTTAACTTTTAGTGTTGAGTATTATTACATTGATTTTTTAACATTTGTTATTAGAACTGATTGGGTGCTTGTGGGATCTGAGGGGGAGGGCAAGTTGTAGATTGGTTGACTCTTGTTCATGCTCACAATCTATAACACAAACCAAGATTGTTGATTAGGACTGCAATCACTAAAATAAAGCTGATATTGCAGGAAGTTACAATTAGTAGAACGTCATTACATTGGAATATAAATGCATAACCAAAAGCACTAACAAATTTGAAGTAGAGAGATGGTGACGTTCTTGCTTATTTGTGCACTAGTATGATGGATTTGTCAATTTGCAGCTGTCCATGATGGTTGGGATTGGCTGTAACATTATCATACTTTAAATCGTAAATTTGGAAGTTGGAACTGTTGTCATTATTGTTAGACATGTTTTCTGTTGAATGTATGTCTTCCTTGCAATCAAACTTAATAGCTGTTATGCATTTGTACTTTTTATTGCATAGCAGAGCTAAATTGTAAATGTAGGGTGATATGTGACACAGTGAAAGCTTTAGTTTTTTGTGTGTGGAGTATATGGCTTTCCTCATGAGATGGAGAACTAGAATGGAAGTCAAGCTTGAATGTAAGGATAATATTGAGGTGCTAACTGATGCTCTCATCCAAGTTTCAAATTTATTTGATCCATTTGCGTCTCTTTTTTCTCTTTTGGTTTGGATAATGTAAGTAGTATGATTGCACTTCTGAACTTTGTTGCTAATTATAGTTTCAAATCTTTCTCTTCTTGCGATAACTACACTTCGTCTTGCTGCTTAATAATTCTCTTGAAGGAGGATACTTGTCCTTGTTATATGGCTTGCGTAATAATTTACTTTTTCATTGTTAAGAATCAAGATTCCCTGCCATATGAATTAGTTCAAAACAAGTAAAAATTTACGTGAGTTGAACAATCAATATACTGGTGGGCTGGGTTACTTTACCATCTTGGTTTAATTCAAGTTAACTGTCAAATACAATGCTTTCTCCAATTCGCCTTCTTTTCTCCCTTGTTGAAGAGATTTGGCTATGCTGATTGCAGGTGTCATGCAATGTACAGTGATAGTTCAAGAACATTAACAAGTGTAGCTGGATGGAGATTATGCAATACAATGTAATCTAATTACTCTTTTCGCCTTCGGTGTACTTGTACTTTCCTTGAATGAGAAACTCTTGAAGAATGTTGTAACTTGGTTGGATAGATGGATTTGACCTTAGTGTGTTTAATATTCATAAGCTTAAAGGCCATAAAAGGAAGGGGGAGCCTTGGCGTAGTTGGTAAAGTTGCTAACATGTGATTAGGAGGTCACGGGTTTGAGTCGTGGAAACAGCCTCTTGCAGAAATGCAGGGTAAGGGTGCATATGATAGGCCCTTGTGATCCACGCATAGCAAGAGCTTAATGCATCGAGCTGCTTTAACGGCCATAGGGGTGAGGCCCTTTAACTATTAGAGAAGTTTCGTCTAGGCCCTTGTGTACCATTATTCGGTCTTCACCAAGCTTCCAACGTCTCCCTATAGAATTGGAGTCTCACAGTTTTTACAATCCTAACAATAACTATTACCCCTTAATCCAACATCTACTTTGGTAAATGGAATTTCAAGTACTTGATGTATAAAGTCATCTATTTCATTGAGATTGACAGAGACTATAAGAGCCAATCTCGTTTTTTAAGAAGGAAAATAAAACCGACAATATATAATAATATAATGACAGAAAGAATAAAGCAAACAAAAAGAAAAGAGAACTATATTCGTTCCATTTCGAAAACCTGGGGCTATTTCTCCCTTTTGAATCAAAATATCAATACTGGCCCCAAATCAGGTAATCTTAGAAAAACAACAATAAGGACTAATTTGTCATTTTATGTATACCGTTATTTTTAGTTTTTCTCCACTTCCCACCCACCTTCCTCCAGCATAATCTGAAATTACTATAAATATAAATTCCTCTTTCAATTCACCGTTTAATAAGACTTCTATACAATCTTCTCAGACACTCTACCTCAAGTTTCCGGGCGACGAAGTATTACCGGAAAATCAGCTTACATTGCCGGAAAATATTTTTCAATTTTGTAAACGAGTGCTAAATTAACTGATCAATCTAGGGTTTTTGATACGATATCTGTGAAGCGATGGCAAAGGGGAGGCTAAATCGGAATCAAGGAAAGAGATCATCAACTGTAGTTTTAGTACTTTCGATGCTCTTAATGCTAACAGTTGTACTTCTAATGCTTCTCGCTCTCGGCATTTTTAATCTGCCGGTCGGTTCCGATGATGAGCCGTCCTCTGCTCACGATCACATCAAGTTCAAGCGCCTCTCTTTAGATATGTACGTATCTTTTAACTGTTGCTGCCGATCAGTTGAGATTTAGCCATGAAAAAAACAAAAGTATAAAGACACACAAGGATTTAAGTTATATGCACTGTAAAGTATCTTTTTTTTCTTCTTTTTTTTGCTGCATGTCAATGAATTTTAACTTGTGACAGCGGATTAGTTAACATTTTTATCATATTACCAATTCATATTTATCTAGAGCTTTACCTGTAATTACCTTGTAATTACCTAATAACTTACCTGATTATCTTAACACTGTCATTGCAGAGAACTTAAACTCAAATAAGGATTTAAGTTACTGACTGTGTAAAGATTTTTATTTTTTTCATGTGAATGAATTTTAACCTGTGATAGTGTACTTATCAAGACATTTACTTGTAATTACAGTATGTTTTAAATGTTGGAGTGTATTTCTGAAAAGAGATTTATTTTGCAGAGGGGAAGGCGATGGACTGGGAAAAAGACGGGACCAATGGACGGAGATTCTATCTTGGGAGCCCCGTGCTTTTGTTTACCACAATTTCTTGGTGAGGCTCTCAGTTTTAGCATTTTTTTAATTGACCATAATCTTAGCTAGTTTTGGCTAGTTTTTGTTCATTTAATTTATTCTTCTACGAGCAGAACATAGTGGATGCAAAGATCAATATAGGTAAGGCTAAGACTTAGTTTTGTTGTTACATTACATTAGTTCTGGTGTTTGACTGGAGGCTTGTATGCTCATGTAAGGTGAGAGTAAAAAGCCTCTAGTTTTCTAGAACCACTAATTTGCATTAAAGGTAAGTTATTTTGTTTTAGAATATAATGGACTTAAATAAAGCACAATGGTTCCAGAGTATTCATATAATCGACCCAACTAATTGGAGGCTGTGAGGAAGTTGATTACTTGATTGATTGATTTTTATCAGTAATTTGTGCTTGTATGCACTTCTACATATGCCTCTTTTCCTCTATATGTTTCCTTTTTTCCTCAAAACAACGGAGGGGAGTGAAGGTGTTCGGCAGTGTTTCTGCCTATTTTCTCAATTTATATTTCACAAAGTTGCTCTTAGATTATTTGATTGTAACGTGCATCATTCTTTGGCGATTTGCTAAGACATTGTTAAATGGACAAGTTTTATTTTGACCATGTGGTTTGCATTTCAACAGTCCAAGGAAGAATGTGAATACTTGATAAATCAAGCTAAACCTCACATGGTGAAGTCAACAGTTGTTGATAGCAAAACCGGTCAGAGTAAAGATAGCAGGTTTGTACTGCTAACTTCTTTACTTTCATTAACTGGCCAGTTAAGCCACAACGAGAAATTATGAGTTTTTTCTTCTTTTATTTATTTTTCTTTTATAGCTTGGTCGAAGGACTATATGCTTCAGTTCTTAACAAATTAAAATTTCAACAGCTACTTACTTTTTTTCCACTACTATAAAATACACAAGTCAAATTTTTTGAATTTGTGTTAAATAGTGTCATTTGAAATAGGATGGATGGGGGAATATCCTTTTCTATTGAATCGATGTTCTAACAGTATTGTGTAACAGGGTTCGCACAAGTTCAGGAATGTTTTTGAGGAGGGGACGAGATAAAGTTATCAGAAATATTGAGAAGAGGATAGCAGATTTTACATTCATTCCTGTAGGTATGAGGACTGGACTATATCCATGAAAAAATCATAGTGTATGAACTCTTTGTTGTCATTCCCATCCATAAGTTCTTGTTAGAAAATTATATATGGGAAACATACCCTGATAAAGTGCTTTTTTTTGTCTTTTATAAGACGCAATGGTTGTATTCTTATAACTTTTAAAAAGTAATTTCTAAGCCTAAGACCATCATAAGTAGTTACCCTTGGCGGTTAAGTTTTTCAAAATTTTCAATTACTTTAATTTGAAGGTTTAGATAGTTAAGCTTACCTCAAGGGAGATTTAGGGTATTAAGGTTCCATTTTATTCATATTAATTGCAGAACTTAGAGTGTATAGTGTCCTGCTAGAGAAGTTTTAGGTTGTTCTTTTGCTTGCTCTTCGAAATATGATCTTACTAGTTTGGTTTTCCTCTTCAAAGCACAAAATAACATGAGATCTGTGATTTTATTCTTGTTTGTTAGAGTCACTAACGTTATTTAAGGAAAAAGAAAATCGCTTCTACGCAGACGTGTATCCGTCCTTTGTTAGGGCCATAATAATACTTTGCTTCCCTTGTGAATTCCCTGATTAGATAATCTTGTTTACAGAACATGGAGAAGGTCTACAAGTTTTACACTATGAAGTTGGACAGAAGTATGAGCCTCATTTTGACTACTTTCTTGATGAATTCAACACCAAAAATGGGGGTCAACGTATAGCTACTCTTCTCATGTATCTGTAAGATTTATAATTCCTCAAATAATTATGTAATAGATATGGTGGAAGTTCTGAATTTTTGCTAAGTTGTATGCATATTGAATATGCAGTGATTGATTGTTTTATTTATTTCTTTGGGGCATATGCAGATCAGATGTAGAAGAAGGGGGTGAGACTGTTTTCCCAGCAGCAAAAGGAAACTTCAGCTCCAGTCCTGGGTGGAACGAGCTGTCAGAATGTGCCAAAAGGGGCCTCTCCGTCAAACCAAGGATGGGTGATGCTTTGCTTTTCTGGAGCATGCGACCTGATGCTTCTTTAGATCCGTCAAGTTTGCATGGTATGTTGTTTTCTCCTTAATATCCCATTACTAACACCTTTTAAACTCTTTAATGTAAACGTTTCCCTTTCCTTCCTTCCCCATGAGAACTCTTGTAAGAAAAAGATGCAAGTTTACGTGTAGCAAATAGGTTAATTGGGTCAGTTTCTGCTTGTCTTGGGCAGTGGTGTGGGACATTTCTCTAGTTATTTGCTAGGATATGTTAGTACTAATCATGAGAACAAAATAATTGTTGAGACTATTTTATCCAGCAGTGTAGTAGTTTGTGTAACAGAGCTGAACATATTGGAAATTGCATACTGAAGTGATCGTGCTTCTTGTAGAATATCAAGATCCATCATCAATTTGTCATGTTGCTAAGGTTTTGGCCTTGAAGAATAAGTTATCGTATACAGTTATAATTTTCCTTGTTCATGATTATCATATTTTCTGATTTGTTTCTATAGAAACTTGTGTCAGTGCTTTGCGTTTTTTATTTGTTCCTTTAATTCTCAAAGGAGTCTACTGGTTATGGAATTACTTTATTCCAGGTGGTTGCCCTGTGATTAAAGGGAACAAATGGTCGTCTACCAAGTGGATGCATGTCGGTGAATACAAGCTATAATTCTCTTTCAAAAAGGTATCTTCATGTTTTTGGAAATTATTCTCATATATCAAGCTAAGACTCCTGTCCACCATAACTTTCTCTTGATATATGGTAAGTGTTGATTAGAACATGATCTCAAGTATGTTGAAACAATTTTTATCCATATGAGCAAGTTGTTAATGTCCAAGACAGTCCTAATCGTCGACCTGTAGCACTTGTTACAAGTGATTCCTAGCACACTCTTAAGATTTCTGCCAATTCCTCCAAGGTAGCAAAGAAATCGGCTTGTGAGACAGTTCAGGCCTCATGCTAGTGTCACAGTGTTTCAAATCTCAAGTGCTATGCATAAGGAATATCTGGAGAAAAAACATGGCTAAAGACCTTTATCTAGTTTCGGTGTAGTTAGATGACTACCATCTTTGTCTAGGCATTCAGCGAAGAAATATTTAGATTTCGTATGAATCCTGGCTGTGTTAGGCCTTCCGGACTTGGATTGTAACATCCTAACCCTAATTCTCCTTAACTTGGAAGCCTCGTTACATCACTTTCAACAAATGAAGGCAAGAGGTTCGAGTCTCAGAGGTTGGTCTATTCGAAGCTTTTTTCTAGAAAGAGTCAGCTCCTCATCTCGACTATTACCCAAATATATGACTTTCCTAGGATGAATATAATTTGTTCTATGTCCAAATGTAAGCAAAATTTAGCTGCCAAAGTTATCAATCCTTTCAGATTGAGCAGCTTTAACATTCAGAGTAGCAAATGAAGTGAAAGAATCTGTACTTGCTATCTAACTCGCTTTTTGGCAGAAGCATCGAAAGATTTTGAGCTGGTTAGCATTTTCAAAGAATAATCATCTCATTCTTTGTTTTACACATCTCATCAGCGGCTACTTCTAGAAAGATTTGGTTAATGAAACCTGGAGGTGGAATTCCGATGTGCAATTAGTGGCTTCTTCAATTATATGGCCAGATGAAAATGTTGCCCCTTCTATTGCTCAGATGGTTGTTTAGCAAAAGCCTCTTATCATAATTAGTTAATCCTATGTATCCCCTCTTTAGGTTTTAGCTTATTGCTCCTTTTCCAAAAGCATATACTCGTTGCCCGTCGCAATAATATTTGTGTAACCTGGTGGATACATCTGTTGGGATAATTCTTAATGATGTCTCTTTATGCATGCTGATTATTATACATTTGATAATTTTCCGCTGTCGTGATCCGTCACTTTGAACGGATCTGATTGCTAATACTCAGAATGGACATTGTATTCATGGTTGATGAAGTAATCAATGTTCTTCCAACTTAAATTTTGTCACGTCTGCTAGACCTCGCAAATAGTGTTATAACAGAAAGGAACTTTTCTTCGTGGAATATGCGTTGTCTCTGTGGTTATGACATGTTTTCTTGCATTTCAGATTGCTTCTTCTAGGGTGAGGTACAAGCAGTAATGGGTCACAACCCTTTAAAAAGTTGAAGAATGGTGGCTTACTCGGTCGTTCGCCTCTGATGAGATGTTTATAATGCCAGGCTTATACTGCATATACGCGAGTCATTGGCTTGCCAGTTTTGAAGAATTGTGCCTATTTATGGTTTCTTGTAAACGGGTAGTTAGGTGAGAATAGTTGGCGGCTAACTGTGTTAGAAAGGGAGATTCAGAGCTGGAATCATGTGATATATTGTATGGTGCTAGCTTTTCTAAATTGTTTGATTTACTACAGTGTTAAATTCTTTTTTAAATATACACATAACGCCCTTTCATGGTAGGAGTAAAGCTGCGTACATCCTACCCTCCCCAGACCCCACTTGTAGGATTACATTGGGTTGTTGTTGTACACATTACCTCTTATGTCTTTTCTTAGTTCATCAAATCACTGGGGTTTAAGTAAGAGTCAAGACGCGCAGAGAAAACAATTTCCGCTGTCGGGACAGTTTGGAATAATCGAAGCAGTTTGGAAATAAAACAAGACAGTAATTTCGGGACAAAGTGTAATCAATATTGGTGTGACGAGACATGAACAATCCAGCAATTTAATTACAGAACAGCATGTGAAATGACCTTAAGCAAGAGATCCTCTAGGATGGGTTCAAAATCCTCTCTTCACATTGTAGGAGAGCGATCCAGATATAGCCAGAAAAAGAATAAACTAATGATAGCTATATATTACATTATCAAAACTGTGGTTGAGCAATCAGGACATTTGGTAGATTAACACCAAAGACAAGTTGCTCTTTTATCTGGTCATGCTATCAAACTGATAAACCAGACATAGTTAGACTCATAAGACCTGAAAAGTAGATTGGTCATATCACCACATGTGAGTCATGAAAATTAGAGTAAGGGTGAGGATTTATGTAGCCGAGTTACCTTCTCAGTGCTAATGGCACGAAGCTCGCTTAAAACCTCAGCAAAATCAGCAGGAGGCAACCGAGTGAAATGTATGTTCTCGCCTGTGTATGGATGCTTAAATCTGCAAATCAGACTCACGTGTAAGTAATGGTAACATATGACTATATTTAGCAACGCTGAATAGAGACAAAATAATAATCAAAGCTTACCCAAGGGTTAAAGCATGGAGGCAAGGTCTTTCAATTCCAGAAATCAACTGCGAAAGTTTCCCATGAGACCTTGGAGGTGTTTTAGGCTGAAGAAGCGAAAGGGCCATGTTCTTAGTACCTCCATACACCTCATCACCCAAAAGAGGTATACCTAGGTACTTCGCATGAGCGCGTATCTGTTTCATAAAATCAAGCTTGAGAAATACTGAGGGAATCTCGAAATAGAGAAATTCTACTAGAAAATAATGCTGAAAGCAGAACATCTACACATTGTTTTCTGACTTTTTACAAGGAGAAGCATCTACAAGTTCTATTCTCATAACTAAATTATTATATTAAACAATGCAAAGAATATGCACATCAAGCACAAAGCTCTAACTACAAAGCTTCTATCTTTCCGAGGATACATCATAGAGCTACTTTGGACTAGAATCAGGTGAGACTAATATCACACTAGACATAGTGACATTGTAGATTCAAAAGATGGTTGCTTTGATAATGCTCAATTTCCCTTAGTTTGCTTTAGTACACTATACCTACAGATATGCCCCTTCAAAAAAATACAAGGCAATAACCCCTCTTACCTGCCACTTATATGTATCTTAAAGTGTGTAGGTAGAAAGGACTTGAATAGATACCAATATAAAAAGACGTATTGATGTTTTGGTAGAAGAAAGACACTTGTCATGAGTAACTAAGAGTGCATATAATATTGTACCTGATGAGTGCGCCCCGTTTCTAACCTCCATTCAACCAATGCGGAGCCACCTCCAGCAAGTTTTTCAATTACTTTATACCTGAAAATAACTTGATTTACTTATAGCTGGAAGACCTCAAATCAGCATGTATTTTGAAGAGAAGCAACTAGACCTTTTACACAAAGAGTTCATGTGTTTGGGGTGACTGTGTGCGCATGGTTGTGTGGTTTGGTTGGGGGTTATTTCTGGGGGGTGGGTAAGGGGAAGGGGTAAAGGAGCAGGGAAATAGCTGTGCAACTTGGCTTCAAATACTTTTTGAGAAACAGTAAGTTATAACTTGGTTTCAAACACTAATTGATACTTGACGAAGAAAGCAAAGTACGAAAGAATTTCCAGCACCTACTGGCAGCATTACGGGCTCTTCCACCTTTATGTGATCCAGGAATAGCAACCATACGGATGCGGTTATTTGAATCACGGCCAATTGGGATATCAATGCGTCCTGAAACTGATGTAGGTACCCCACAAGTAATACTGACATAGACTCTTTTTATTGTATGTTTCTTAAACTGTTCAGCTAGATTGGCAAGAGACTGCTCAGTCTGCAGAACGGGAACGACCTTTAAAGTAAGCAAATTAGTCTAGTAACATAAGCACAAACTTCTCAGAAGATAAGGGAATATCTACACAAATTACCCATCTTCAGAGCCTGGAAGTAGGAATCACCTTCGCAACAACAAGCAATCCACTGGTTCCTTTGTCTAACCTATGCACAATTCCTGGCCGGACAGATGGCTCACGCATAACAGAAGAATCGACACCATAAGGACTTTGGTTGGCAGGAAACAAGTTCAACTCATCATCTGAAGTATCTTCCACATCAGAAAGCACTTCTTCACCCTGGAATGAAACGGTGGGAAGACTGCAGTGATGAAGAATTCCGCTTACCAGCGTTCCAGTGGCATTTCCTGGTGCGGGATGAACTACCTGTATTGAAACAAAATTTCCATTGAACTTTCTTAAGCTGACACCTTAAAGTTCCAACATCCATAATACTTCTAGCAATCTATCTGAATCACCGCTGGAGCTAAGGGAAAAAAGAAAGAACAAGTAAGTTTATGTACACTAATTTCTAGCAATCTATCTGAATCACCACTGGAGCTAAGGGAAAAAAAGAAAAAACGAGTAAGTTTATGTACGCTAACATTCATAATAGTTATTACATCAAATTATAAGTATCAAATTTCTTTCTTTTCCAGGCTAACAATCAAGTATCTAGACAATCAATGAACTGCAGCTGTAGAAATGGATAGAAAAATAAAAATCTCAAATCACCCAAATCGAACAGCACACCAGTAGAGCAGAATCAGCATTATCAAACTAGACACCATAAAACAAGTGATTCCGCTCAGTCTTTGAATGTGCATGCTTAATTATATACTCCCTCCGTTTCAATTTATGTGAACCTATTTAACTGGACAGAGTTTAAGAAAAATAAGAAGACTTTTGAACTTGTGGGGTAAAATGAGGCATATATATTTTGTGTGACTATAAAATATTGCATAAAGGTAAATTGTTTCCAAATATGGAAAGGGGTCATTCTTTTTGGCACGGACTAAAAAGGAAATAGGTTCACATAAATTAAAACGGAGGGGCAATATTGATCCCAGATGAGCTTAACTAGAGCAATATGAAAATGATCCTTAGCTCAATGGACCAATACGGTCAATGAGCATTCGTATTGCCGATTCCAACTTGCTTGGAGATTGAGGAGTTGTTTTTCCCGTGCATACTAAATGGGCAAGTGAGTGTTCTATCAAAGAAAAATGCATAGCCAAAAACAACTAGATGATACTAGAACTCACCATGTGAGCAGGCTTGTTAACAACAAGCACATGGTCATCTTCATACACTATATCCAATGGTATATCCTCTGGTTCAGCTCTTAAAGGCTTCAAATCAGCTATTGTACAATTAACCTTATCCCCACCTTTTACCGTATGTGAAACCTACAAAAGATCCAATCTTTACCCCAAAAAAACAAGAAATAGAGCACAAAAACTGAACCCCCTATTCTTATAAACAAAAATATGCTGGTACCTTATCAGTGACGCGACCATTGACAGAAACAAGTCCAGAGCGAATGCTGGACTGAACACGAGCTCTGCTAATACCGTTGATACGGGAGCTGACCCAAGAATCTAGTCTCAGCTTTCCAGTTTTGACATCTACTGTTTCTTCGAGCTTGACGCCGGAGTAATTAGACCTCCGGCTTTGAATTTCATCCGGTGAGTCGTCGGAATCCGAATCTCCGGGGAATTTGGAAAATGCTCTGACAATGAAGCTTGAAACCCTACTAAAAGAAAAGGGTTTTGGGTTTTGTGGGTGCACAAAGATTGATGTTGGAGTTAGTGCTAGCATCGCCAATATCTACAATTTTTGCTTCTTAGGAGATTAAAACGGAGGTTTTTCAGAACTAGAGATATGACGACCAAGATATAATTTTAAGATATTGATTTATGTCACGTCTTAATGATAATGAAATATATTAAAGTAGTAATTATTGTTACATTTAAATTTTAAATCAAAAAGTTAAATAAGTTTGAATTCTTGAAGTATATTGCTATACTAGTATGTGCTATAATAGCTAAGCAATAGGGATGAACACGTCTTATATATATGACCTTCAATATTGCAAAACATTGGAGTATTATTTTAAGTTATCCTAAATTTTTAGTAGTTTAGTTGGTTGGGGAATCAATTACCGATGCTTGCATCAACATAGATTGTGTATATCATACTCACTTAGGGTGCGATCATTCGTTGGACCCGGCATGAACCCGAGATACTTTGTGCACCAGACTATCTTTTTTAGTTGATTACATCACTTTTCACCTTATTGGTGAGGGTTTGATTTCTCGTCTTGTAATCACTTCCTCATTTACTAGAATAATTATGAATTTCAAGCTCGACCCATCTGGAGCAACGATAAAGTTGTCTCTGTATTGTGGAACCAATCATTGATATTTGCATCAGGGTAGGTTGTCTACATCACACCAAGACAAGGGGTATGTTTCTTCTTCAAATCATGCGTGAATGCGGAATATTTCGTACACGAGCTGACGGTTCTTTAAGCTCGACCCATCCCAAAATAAACAATCATATGGGTTGGTCCACGTCATGTTCACATTTTAGAAGTGGAAATCGTAAGCCAGCAAAAAGTGAGCATATTCCAAAGCCAGATCAACAATATATCCAAAGAGACAACTTCAAAGGCAAAGCAAAGCACCTCTAAAAGTAAAGAACTTAGTATGCTGCAAAATCCTAAAAACCAACCAAACATTCTCTCTGAATCAAATACTCCTTAAACATCCAACAAAACACATAAAACTCTCAGAAAAAACTCCATTTTTTTCTCTCAAAATATCATAACATGGGACTTTGTTTCACTAAAGACTCTTGCTTTACAAAGTCTAGAGATGTTCCAATATCATCATCTCCTTCTGATCAATCTCCTGAATATCATCCAATACCTGTATTATCTCAAAAACAGCGCGACGAATCACCAGCACCACCACCAGCACCAGCACCAGCACCAGCACCAAAGCCGATTCCGGCTTTCAATCCTAAGCCAAGAACTAGTATTTCCCTACCATCATCTTCTCAAATAGGTCCAATTTTAGGCAAGCCATATATTGACATTACTACAATATATGATCTTGACAAAGAATTGGGCAGGGGTCAATTTGGAATTACATATCTTTGTACTGATAAATCCAATGGATTGAAATATGCATGTAAGTCCATTTCAAGAAGGAAGTTGGCAAGTTCAAAGGATATAGAAGATGTTAGGAGGGAAATTACAATACTTCAATATTTAAGTGGACAACCAAATATTGTAGAGTTTAAAGGTGCATATGAGGATAGACATAATCTGCATTTGGTTATGGAATTATGCTCAGGTGGTGAACTTTTTGATCGTATTACTGCTAAAGGAAATTATTCAGAGAAAGAAGCTGCTAGAATTGGAAGGCAAATTGTGAATGTGGTTCATGTTTGTCATTTTATGGGAGTTATGCATAGAGACCTTAAACCTGAAAACTTTTTGATGGTTAGTAAAGATGATGATTCTCCATTAAAGGCCACTGATTTTGGTCTATCTGTCTTCATTGAGGAAGGTTAGTTGCAAATTGTATGCTCGTATTTTATTATTCTTAGATTTTTATCGCAAGTTGTTGGTTCTTTCGTTTTCGGTCATCTTACTATCTTATCGTTGTTGCTGCGTACAATAGACCCTTGTGGTCGGGCCCTCTCCGGACCCCGCGCATAGCGGGAGTTTAGTGTACCGCGCTGACCTTTTTCATTGTCATTGCTTCTTTTTCATGGTTTCTATACTACCGTTTTTATTTTCAGTTACACTCAAATTCAGGATCTTCCGCTGCGCGAATTTCCTGAGAAATATTTTTTGTATCAATGATCTGGCGAATTATCAATGATTCGTTCTTAGATTTTCTAAATGGAAATTTGTTCTAAATGATGAAGAGATAAAAAAATTTAACTATTCTGAAATGTTGATTTGAATTGCAATTAAACTCGGCCCAATCTTTTACTAAAAGGATTGAGCCGAATACAACAAAGATTCTATTGCATATATTTTGACTTCATGATCGGCCATTCCATTTTTGCCTCCTGCGCTGGAAGCGAGACCCGAAGGGTGAGCTTATGCCTTTTCCCCCAAATCAATGAAGAAGGGAGGTCTTTCCAAAAGGCGTGAATGCAAATAAAAAACTCTTCCTCCCGGCTTTCTTTCTATTCTCACTCTCATCCGACAAAACCTCGCTAATTGATCTTTACGGTGTCTTTTTATCTGGCATTAACTTGGAACCACGTGCATCTAAAGCACCTTTTACTAAGATCAATGTAGTTGTATTCCTATCATGCTATTGCTTCTGTCTTCCAACCATCTAAGACCGGATTCAATAGCAGCTCCTGCACTCCCCCCTTTTTCTTGACAGAATAACCCTCTTGAAGCTCATCCTCTTCATCATAAATGATCCGCTTGCCCCGAAATGACCTGGACCAATAGGGAAATCCCGCTTGGGTGAAAAAGGCGGGTAAATCTAGTTCAATTGGTAAATACCTTATAGTTATTATCAAGTTACTAAAGAGGCTGATACGTTGGGATTCTTCTAGTGGCGGATTTAGACTAAACACAAGGGGTGCTATACAGGAAGAAATCAATGCCCAGGAAAAAAATAATAAGACTTAGTCTCATCTTTTTGGCCAGTTCAAGGTCAGTCGTGAGCTGTAGGAAAAGATAGTAGCTAACTCGTAATGGTCGACAGTATTCCTGCCATACCTGAATTCCAATTATTTAGAGCTAGAAGCTTCGCCAGAAGCAAGCAAGATGAGGTCGTCGTGCTTATACTTTTCTTGAATCGAGGATATATTGAAAACAACCTATCTACCTGCTTCTGTATCAATATCAATGGTGCTTCTCCATTGGGGTTGGGCCTTTATCTTTTTGCAGAAGTTATTCTCTTCTACTACAGTTTATTTGCTCACATCTACTACAATCATAATATTCTGTGTTGATGTCATGTGATAACTACTTGGAACAAGCTTGATTAATGAGTTGGATACAATTTATTATTATTATTTTTTCTATCAATTGATGGTAATGTGAATTAGACTAGTAGTGACAAAATAAGTTAAGTAGATAAGGTGATTTGTAACTCATCATACTCTTTAACTGTTTTCAACTTTTAAATGTATAGTTGGAAGTTCTTAAAGATATATATATATATATATATATATATATATATATATATATATATATATATATATATATATATATATATATATATATATATATATATATATGTTTGTATGAAGTTCACATTCGTATTGTCTATAATAATAACAACAGTGAGTCCAATTGTACTTTATACATTTATATTTAAAATTTTGAATTCGTCATGGAATAACGGTAAAGTTGTCTCAGTGTGATGTATAAGTTACGGGTTCGAGTCGTAGAAATAACCACTAATGCTCACATTAGGGTAGACTGTTTACATTACACTCTTGAAGTACAACCTTTCTTCGGACCTTACGAGAATGTAAGATGCTTTGTACATCAGATGCGGACTGCCCTTTTAATTCGTCCCCTTCATTTTTGACTCATGACTTACTGCTCCTTACGCGGTTTTGAGGCTTAGGTAGAGAAAATATATACGTAAAATGAACTTTGATCAGGTCGTTGTTGTTATAGTTACGATTTGGGACTGAAAAGAACAAACTTTTCAACTGATGGGACAGTTGAAAAGAAACATACTAGACTTTGGTCCTTAAGTTTGTGAGCAATGAAAGACTTACGTATGTGGATGTCACTTTCAGTCAACCAGGTTGACTCAGTCAAGTGAGAAAGTGACAGGTCAATGTATATTTTCCTTTGTATCAGTGTAAAACCAGGAACATAAGGGTATCCAATGATAGAGGTAAATAATTAAAGAGGAAAGGGTCAATAATACCGTGTTATTTGTACATCATTCCCTTTTACAATTTTGAATTTAAAAAAAAAAAATGACTTTTTAGATCTCTTATGTGTAAAAGATATATCTGTTACATATAAAGGTAAATCTCCCATGTGTGAAAAAAGAGGTAGGATCGTAAAACTAAAAATAAGTTTGTAAAGAGCCAAAAAAAAAAAAACCAACTGACTATCTTTTCTCGTATTAAATTATCGTGTATGCTTTGGATTTCAATAAAGTTACAACCTGAAATATAACTTATTTTAAACCGTAATCAAAAGTAGATGGATAAATTTGGACCTTCTACTCAGAAATATTTCGATTAGATCATGAAATTTGGACCTTCTTCTCGAAATATTTAGACACATCAATGTTGGAGTTCATTAAAGGCAAATACGAGATATATAAGCTATGATGTGTGACAACTAAGGCCTCGTTTGGCCATGAATTTTGCCAAAATAAATTTGGGATTTATTTTCAAAACTCATGTTTGGCCATAAATTTTGCCCATATTTTGGCCAAATCCCAAATCCCAAAATCAGCTGATTTTGGGCCAAAACCCCAAAACTTGGGAATTATATACATGTTTTTCCAAAATAAAGTTGGAAAATATATTTTGAAAACGTATGTCCAAATTAAACACATTTTCATCATCAAACCAAACTTCACCCAAATTAGATTTTTCAAAATAAATTTGGGATCTATGGCAAACGCTAGCTTATGATGGTCGGTGGATTTCATTACGTTCATACATTAGAGGATTTCATTACGTTCATACATTAGAGGATATGATTCTTGTGTAAATATTTACTTAATTACATTTCTATAGCAGATAGAACATGTTATAGATACAAATTATTTCTCACTATCTACTTGCAATAAGCTAAAAAATTTAAGTGAATTATATATTGTACAGGAAAAATTTACAAGGATATAGTTGGAAGTGCATATTATGTGGCACCTGAGGTATTGAAGCGAAAATATGGGAAAGAAATAGATGTGTGGAGTGCTGGAGTTATTTTATACATTCTATTAAGTGGATTTCCTCCTTTCTGGGCTGGTAAGTTACACTACTTTTCCTAGCATAATATGTGGAAATTCAAAAATAACCAGATTTACAAGTGGTCATTTAAAAATAGGCATAGTTTTAAAAGTCATCGAAATTTAGCCACTTTTCATATAAAGATAAATCTAAACGAAAATACTGTTCAAAATCCGGAAAATACTCCAGCATAATATACTGGATCCAGCAAAGTATACCGGTCCAGCATAATATGCTGGAAGTTTATAAACAGGTGCACCGAACTCCAGTATATTATGCTGGACCGGTCTCTGTTGCAGCAAAATAGTGGCTATTTTTCAATGACTTGGCAAACGCTGGTTATTTTTGAATGACCAGTACAAAACCTGGCTAGCCCGTGCTATTTTAACTCTTTTAGCTTATCAGTATATCCACTGATAGTATACAAGAAATTACGTTATCACTTATCAGGTTGTCTAAAAAATATCTATAGGTAACTGACTATTATAGATTAGTAACCTGAAAAATAAGGCGTCCCGTTTGATGAACTTATCTTTGTTGTCTGTGCTGCATTTCCCTTTAATATTCTGATTTTCAACAACTCAAGCTTGATTTAACTATATTTAATGTGTTTGTATTTGTACATCAGAGACTGAAAAAGGCATATTTGAAGAAATTCTTAAAGGCCAACTGGATTTCGAATCCTCTCCCTGGCCTTCTATCTCTTCCTCTGCAAAAGATCTTGTTAGGAAAATGTTGACAATGAATCCTACAAAAAGGATCACTGCAGATGCAGCCCTCGGTAATTACATAATTTACATATTGCTATCCGACTTTAACACGTTATAACAGTAAAGTCGCAAAACTATATTTTTCAACAATAAAATTTGGATGATGATATATGATACAGAACATCCATGGCTCAAGAAAGACGGCGAAGCATCGGACAAGCCTATTGATAGTGCTGTTTTGATTAGGCTAAAGCAATTCAGAGCAAGTAACAAGATGAAGAAGCTTGCTCTTAAGGTACCAAAATTAACATTTTCTCAGTAGTAAAGTGTAACATTTTCTGATGCTGAAATATATACATGCATATTGTTTGAAGGTTATTGCAGAAAATTTATCAGAAGAAGAAATCAAGGGATTGAAGCAGATGTTCAATAACATGGATACTGATGGAAGTGGTACAATCACATATGAAGAACTTAAAACAGGATTGTCTAGGCTAGGTTCCAAGCTCACTGAAACTGAAATAAAACAGCTAATGGATGCAGTAAGAATCTTACAATGTTTGATTTTTTTTGTTTTAGTTTATTTCTCCGTGTATGTGACCAGGAGGTCACGGGTTCACGTCGTGGAAACAGTCTCCTGCAGAAATGCAAGGTAGGTTGCATACAACAGACCCTTGTGGTCTAGCCCTTCCGCGTAGCGGGAGCTTAGTGCACTGGGCTACCCTGTTAGTTTATTTCTCCGTGTGACTTATAGGTCATGGGTTGGAGCCGTGAAAGTAACCGCTAATGCTTGCGTTAGGTTAGGCTGTCTATGTCACACCCCTAGTGGTGCGACCCTTCTCGGGACCTTGCGTGAACGCAATATGCCTTGTGCACCAGACTGACTTCTTTTAATTTATTACAATAAAAAACAAGAAGAACCTTATATTGACTGACTTAGCTTGAACTGCACTAAAATGTGTACTTTTTGGCATTGACGTTTTCTTATTACAGGCAGATGTTGATAATAGTGGGACTATAGATTACATTGAGTTCATTACTGCTACTATGCATAGACACAAACTGGAAAGAGAAGAAAACTTGTACAAGGCTTTTCAGTTTTTTGACAAGGATAATAGTGGGTATGTATTTTCTCCATTTTCCTATTAATTTGGAACTTAACATGTTCCCAATGTACATATAACAACATCAAAGATGCATTTTGGGCGGTGGCGGAACCATCTTATGCTAAGGTGTGTCAATTGACACCCTTGCGCCGGAAAATTACACTGTTTTGACACTCCTTATTCTCTTCGTGTGTTTACTTTTTTACATTTTAACACCCCTCATTCTTGGCTCCGCCACTGATATCGGGTTGTAGTTACCTGAAAAATAATGCTGACAACTTACTACAATAGGTTAAATTACACTAATAGTGTGAAAATCGAATGATTTGTCGACGTGAATAAGTTAAATCTTATTGCAAATAACTTTCTTTCGAGTCGTGGAAATAACTTCTTGTAGAAATGTAGGGTAAGACTGCATAGAATAGACCCTTGTGGTTCAGCCCTTCTTCAGACCCTGCACATAGTGAGAGCTTAGTGCACTGGGCTGCCCCTTTTTTTTCTCTTAAGAGTTATACTTGATTCTTGGATTAACATAATTTGGTTTCAAACTGTTTGTTTATTTTGGCAGATTTATTACAAGAGATGAACTAAGACATGCAATGGCAGAATATGGAATGGGAGATGAAGCTACAATAGATGAAATCCTAGATGATGTTGATACAAATAAAGTTAGCCATTTTTCTGTTATTATAAACTATATTCCATTCTCTGATATCTCTCTTTAAATACAACAAGGTTTTTCATATATGTCAAATTTTCATAAATGTAGGATGGCCTAATTAACTACGAGGAATTTGTAGCAATGATGAGAAGAGGAATTGGTGATGATCATGGAGGGAAACTAAGAGAAAATTGACCACTTTTGCAAATGTGAATTTTCTTTAGTGTGAAATGTGAATTCTCTCCAACTTTATGCTAGAACTGCAATTATTTTCTATGAATAAGATTTTCCCAGTATGTAAAGTTTGTAAGTGAAATACCAGCAGTTTAAGGAGGGGAGTCTCCAGTTCTTGTTAAATTTCAATGGTAAAATACCATTTACCGAGTTTAAGTTCTATGCATCAACGGCTTAAAAAATATATTCACAAAGTAGTTACAAGTAAATTTGTTAACCTAATAAAAATGGTTACTCATCTGCAATTGTTAAGCTACACTGACGAAGTAAAATCTTCACACTGTCAGTGTACAACAACAACCCAGTAAAATCCCACAAGTGGGATCTGGGAGGGTAATGTGTACGCATATCTTACCCCTATCCGAGGGAGTGGAGATGTTGTTTCCGAAAGACCTCGGCTCAAAAAGACGAAAAGAAACAATAGATCAGTACCAACAACAGAAACCAGAAAAATAATATCATCATAAGAGCTAGAAAATAGATGAAAAAACAATAAGAACCACCAGTAAATATGGTCCGGTACTATGAAAAAACAGAAGACAAAACACTAACAGACTAGCCTTTGCCTCAGTGTATATAACTTAAAACTGAATACTATTTCCTAGCATTTCTTCACTCCTCCGTCTGTGTATATAACTTAAATCTGAATATTATTTCCTAGCATTTGAAAGTCCTAAGCCGGAAAATGATGAGATATGAGTCTTTTCCTTTCTGTCCAAGAACCAACTCAACAACTCCTTAAAACAAGATCTATTTTTCTTTTCCTCCCTTTTAAAGAGTCTTTAAAATCCTTTTCAACATTTTAAACTAGTAACAAATGATAGCCTCAGATAAATAAACCATTTACTCACAAGGATTCATCTGCAAGTATTTAAGAGCTTGTCTAACAAAATGTACATTTCTGATTCTTCAAAAGCTCATATTTGGTTGCTGCTAAAACCAAGAATTACAAGTTGAAAAGAGCATAAATAGAGACCATTAAAGATTCACCATAACCTATCAGTAAGACAAACTTCATACCAATTATATTCTTTGCCTATATATCTGGTACCTACATAACATGTAAGAATGCTAAGATCAGCCCAATAACTAATTAGCTGTCTGGGCTACGCGCCACGGGCTTCATACACTTGGGGTGTACCTCATAACCACACTCAAGGCATTGGTAAGCCCATCCATAGCCCTGCTCATCACAATCACAACAGATAAAAGCTCCACCCCCATGGCCTTCGGGTACTAACGTAAGTTCATGTCGATGGCCCGGATGGTGTTCTGTCTTAGGAAGGCCTTTTGCTACTTCATCCATTTGCTTCTCTAGGATTCCTACTCTTGTCTTTGTGAATGGGTAAGCATTCTCTTTATACAAGTTGATAAGACTCCTACCTGTCGAGACATAATTAAGCAACGAAACGTGTGCTCAGGCTAAAAGCTTAAGCTTTGTAAATGAGATGGTCACACACGATAAGATTACCTTGTTTGGTTACTGTTTTGCCGTCAGGGCCCAAAACCACTAGGCTTGGAATCCCTCGGATGTCAAAATACTTAGCTAAGTTCTTGATTGTTGGATCATCATATTGGACTGCTAGCCATGGCATGGTCTCGAAATATGTCATGAACTGTACCTGGTTGCGGTCACTTGATACAAACACTATTTCGAAATCTTCATCCTCCTTTCCTTCTAGTTGCTGCTTAATCTTTTGGTAGACTGACATTAACCTCGGTGTAAATTTGAATGCCGGAATGCACCATTGTGCTGAGAAGTAAAGTCCAATAGTTTTCCCCATTAAAGAAGCAACAGGCACCTACAAGATTAAATTGCAGAGACATGCACAAAAAAAACTGGTGAATGTTTAATGCTAACATATGTAATTCTAGTAGGAGAACTTATGAACTATAATTGCAAATCCATAGTGCAAATTAAGAAATTGGGCGAAACTTACGGGCTATTTTGGGCAGTGATATCGAGCTAATTTGGACTACCCTTTTAGAACAAGTTAAGTTGGGCTATGCTCGAATCTGTCCATTACTAATATATCTCAAGCCCAACCTGCTAAACTCTGGGCGGATTGGGCGGGTTATGTGTTCTTTGGTCAAATTTGACCGTGTTAATCATTGACCAGTACCCCTTGTACATAGCTTCATTATTGCTAGCTTTTACATATCTTGAATAAGCATTTAATTAACATGTGACAAATAATCAAGAGGGCACTATATTCGACAATCTATTGATATATGCAAAAGACGGACTTGCCTGTTTAGGTCCAGGATGCCCCAAAAGATAATCTCTGCCATCGCGTGTTAGCAAATTGCTCAATGTTTGATTGTCATGTTTCTCTTTCTCCTTCTCCTTTAACTCCTCCAACCTTTCTTTGGTAAATGGAAAAGCTTGCACTCCATATCGGTACACAAGTTCAACTCCGTCACTAATGACTGCAGCATCATTGTTAGGTTGTAAAATTATCAAGCAAGGGATACCTTCGACATCAAATTTCTGTGTTAGGGCTCTCCTTGTCTCTAAATCAGAGAATGGAATTGCAAGCCAAGGCATTGATGACTTATAAGTGTTAAATGCATCCAAATCTTCATCAGAAGAAACAAACACGATCTCGAAGCCAGGATCGCTGTGATCTTTAAGTTGCTCGTATACATTGATCAACAGGTCTGTAAACTTTGTACATGGTGGATACCAGTTAGCTGAGAAGTATAGGCCGACAACTTTGCTTTCAAGGTCGGAAACTTTCACCTGCGTCAAGACATCCACTATCTAGTTGAAATGCCATATGTAGTCAGAGGTCAGGGAAGCATGTGAAGTACACAACGCGATAAAATAGGAAGGAAGTTGCTCAACAAACATGTATAAAACATTGAAGCGTGTCAAAAGATGATCGCTTCCATAAGAATATTCCGACACAATGGCATAAACCATGAAAATGAGTTTAAGGTTACCGACAGATTGGTGCAGAATTAGCAGAAATATTGCTTAAAATGTCCGGAAAGAAAAGGATCTCCGACATCAAACCAAAATAGGCAAATATAAAGATGATATCATAATTCATATCTATGCCTACCGCAAAATAACACAATACTAAGACGTTTCTGAGCAATACCAAACTGTTGTTCAGTAACTTTTTTTATTTCATCTTTTCAATTAGAAAAACTAATTGCTAGTCCTATTTGACATGTTTGTAATTGGTTACTGTATCATTTGTATGTATTGTAAGCATCCTCTCTTTCAATTCAAAACCAAAGTTAAAATTACTAATTGCATCAAATTATGCAACTTATGTTTACTATAAAAGAACTTTGGTATCCAGGGAGAGTCGAAACTGAGCCATTCGTCCGTTAGCTGTCTCCGTTTTCTTTTCAATCTATATATCAAATTAAGCAACTTATGCTAGATATGTTATTCATGCAAGGAAATTACCAGTTCTTTTTGCCGTAATAATACTGTTTATGCACCACTATTTTGGATGTTCTACACTTCAAAAGATTTAGTTAAACCTTTAACACAACTAGCTAGCTAATTAAGAAATACGACCTCAGCTAGTTAAGGTACTTTAATTTTTCCACCAATACTTATAGTTTAGAGGTACTAGTAGAATTTATCACACGCTATAGGCGTGGCCGATGTAGAGTATGGTCGCCGGGTTCAACTGAATTCGGTATTTTCGCCACAGAGCATAAATTTATTAAAATTACAACAAATGGTAGGTCTGAAATCATAACTTTAAAACTACAATGGATTCTAATGTTAAAAACCTTAAAAGTTAAACCCACATAATCTAAATCTTGATCCGCTTCTGGGCCTATAGGTATGAGTTCAATTGTCATTTTTTATTTTTTTTAACTTTCTTTATCCCTATATATGTATAGAAAATTCTGAAGAAAAAAATATTAAGTCTTTTTCATCTTTTTGAGCAAAGGATTTATCAGAAACAACCTCCCTACTCCCTACTCCGGGAATAGGGGTAAGGTCTGAGTACCAGTGGCGAGACGGGAATAGGGGTAAGGTCTGAGTACCAGTGGCGAGACCAGAATTTTTTCTGATATAAAAATAGATAAAGATTTTTTTACCTAACTATACAGTATAATTTTTCAGGGAACAGTGGCAAGAGAAGTAACTAGTACTATAAGTAATAAGTACCTGAGCTCCGGTTGAAGAGAGAAGAAAATCACCATCTTTGGAAGCTAAAATGGAGCGATAATCCCCAGCAGAAACAACCTGATGAGAATCTTCATCTTTTACAGGAAAAGAGTGATAAACAGGGACGAAGCTGTTGTCTATTTCTGCTTCTTCATCTTCCTCTGTATTGTTAATTATCTTGTCCTTATTTTCTTCTATAATTGTCTCATCCATATTCTTCTACTTCATTCTCTTTCTTTCGCCCCTTTTAAGCAGCTATAGTTGAGTGTGATATTTCACTAATATGAAAACCATCAATTCAAACTAGCGCTTTGTATTGTTTGGGAAAGTTTTTTTGATTTCTCGCACGGTATTCGGTACTTATATTGGGGCCCGATTAATTCAAATTTGCGCTGGAAAATCTTATATTGGGGCGGAGCGTTCCCTAACAAAGGAGGCTCCATATTCAGGGGCTCGAACTTAACACCTCTGATTAAGAATAAAGAATTACTTACCACTTCACCATAATCCTTGTTGGTGTTTGGAAAAGTTATTATTGTACCTAGCTAGCGTGAAAGCCATGTGTTTTTATTTACCATCTATATCGTTCTACGTACAATTCATGCATACCTCTCTTCATTTTGTAACACGTAGCGTTTTATTCTCTCTCCTCTTTTAACTTTCCTTCCCACTTTTCTCGCCATCAATGTTGTGCCTTTCCAATTCTCTACTTTTTATTTTGTATTTTTCAGTTATTAAACAATCAAAATCCGTACATTTTGATGATTTATTTGTATTTTTTTGAATGGTAACAGCCCAATCCGCTAGTGATATTGTCCGTTCTTGGCCTAGTCAATCAACTGCATTACTAAAATTTTAAATACGCTAGTTATATTTAGCAAACTGTTGCAATATCTAAAGTTTATTCGTCATTTTCATGATTTTGAAGATCTGCATATATTAAATTACTAACTTTAAAATTTGATGTTATGTTCTGTTTTATTTAACTAAATTTTTCATCATTGCTAATTTTAAGTCAAATTACCATTTTTAATCTGCGCCAAAATCAACTACTATCATTAAAACGGGATGGAGGGACTATTATTTAAACATTTCTCTGCTCAATTCCATATACATGTATATATTATTTACCCTTTAACTGACGTACTTCTAAATTGGGGTGAAGTAAGTAATAGATTATCATAAAAAGCAGTCATAACTCATATATATGATATTAATTTCAAGTCTCAAACGTGATGAAACATCGGAATTAAATTTTCAATCAAATAAATTAGATTGTAAGCAAATTAACCCATGGTTATGCAATTTAGTCGTTTAATGTCAAACCACAAAGAGAAGTGAACATTCTGTAATTATGTGATTTGGCCACGTATTGTGATAGTGAACAATTTAAGGAGGAATCTTGTAAGAAAAGCACTTTAGAATTTCGTGGTGTTTACGTAATATAGAACGTACTCTACTTTTTTTCTCAACGAAAAGATGTGCAGCATATATAGGGGACACCTGGCTCCTTCTCTATCTGCTATTTTCTTTCTCCCCACATTTTTATCACCTTATCTTTACTTTGACGAAAGGTGTTATAAATATATATTATAAGTATTATGGATGTTTATTTAGTATTTCGTTGTAAATAAATTTTTTGAAGAAATTCATTCATATGGAATTTCACCGTAAATATGTTTATCTATTTAGTACTCTATTGGAAAAAAGCCTCCTGAAGAAGCTTATCATTTCGGTACGCCGTTATGGATAAATATTACCTCCGGTAGAAGATTATCTATATCTGGTACAGTAGCAGCTTACAAGTAACTTACAAGCAACTTACACAAAAGCTTGCAGTAGCAGCTTACAAGTAACTTACAAGCAGCTTACACAGCAGCTTGCGGTAGCAGCTTACAAGCAACTTACAAACAGCTTACACAGCAGCTTGCAGTAGTAGCTTACAAGCAGCTTACACAGCAGCTTGCAGTAGCAGCTTACACAACAGCTTCCTTTCTTCTATAAATAGAGGAGATTTCAGTTCATTATGTACATGAGTTTTGAAAGTTGAATAATACATCAATCTCTTTCTCTATACTTGTCTTTGATTTATTTACTTTACAATTTTTATTTTATAACACGTTATCAGCACGAGACTCTGCTTTTTGAGCACTTACTTCGAATTTAATTTCTATTTCAGTGTTCATCTCTGATGTAATGTGACGCTCTTACGTCCGTGGTTAGATCCTGTTCATTCCGAACATCATAAAGCAGATTAGTCTTTGTTATAAATTCCATTTCTCTGAACACCTGAGATGCAATCCTACTGGTATTCTTAAGATAAGTACTACTATTAGATTATGTTCTTTATGTCTTTCGAGCTTGAATAAATATATGTTTATCGTGTATGTTAATTAATGTCTTTTTAGCCAACTAATGATGCAGATATCGTTTTACTTAGATGTGGTCTCGTGAAATTGAAAAAAACAATTGATTTTACTTAAGTTGTTATATGGTCGCGAGACACACCAGTTTTTATGTGGCAAACGAATGCGGTATACATATATGTATACAATAGCTATTTTGTGCTTATTGTCATTCTAGTTATCTTAATAAACAGTTGCAAAGTGGATAACATTGTTAGATTCACTTAAACTCCAGCAGAGTTTGTAAGACATATACAAACCACCTGGATTGGTTATGTTTCCTATATCTCATTGTGACTAAATTTTGTTAACCACCAGAAGTGGTATATGGCTATGACTACCAGAATTGATAATTTAGGCTTTCTATGGTTACAATTGAAGATAAGCTAGAGAAAATTTCTCTATATTACTTGCATGCCTCGATTTGCTCCTGAAGTTGCATTATCTTAAAAGAGGTTGAAGCATCACACGATTTGGTGTGATTAATGCACGTTCAGATAATTATGTTCCGTTTCCTGAAGGATGAGAACTTTGGATGAATATTAGTCAATTCCCTGAAGTGAATGTGACAATATTAATAATACTCGTAAATATGAACGCGCTTTTGATGTAAATATATTACAATTCACCTCTAGAAGAGGTAATATGATCGAGAGAATATATACTCATTTTTTTGTATTTTAAATTTGCTCCTGAAGAAGTAACACAATTAAAATGTTCTCCTGAAGCAGGAAAATATTATGAAACTCTGTCTTTCTGTGCTTAAATAAAATAATAAGCTATTCAAAGTTATTTTTGAAGCAAATTTTCATTCCCTGGAGTGAATGAAGAAATACCACAACTCACCTCCTGAAGAGTTAGAATAACAAAGGATATAAATCTTGTTTTTGTGGCACAAAGATCATTGTCGCACGTACCCGTTATACGTAAAATATCTTGGATAATTTTATTAAATATCATTCCAAGGCAAAAGTATTCTTGTAGAATGCTTTCTACTACAACCACATTAATATGTTATGGTTAGTTATCGAGTTCCCCGAAGGAAATAACAACTCGTGTATCTTTCCCTGAAGGAGATATTTGTCACAAATTTGGTGGTAAAAATACTGAAATTTTTAATTTCTTACATTTATGAATTTAGAATTGTCTTTATAATATTCATTTGATTATGATTTTCTCTCATGATACCAGAAGTGTCTGAACAATATTTGATAGTACAAAATGTATGAACAACTCATGAAAAGCTAACTTTTTGTCTAGACGATACATGACACAAGTAGTGTCTGAATAATATTTGATTGTGGACAATAAATTGAAGGCTCCCAAAGAGCTTATTTGTCATTATTGTGGTCAAAACAGATGTTATGATAAACCCGAAGTTTACTAATACAAATGACAATCATACTGAGACCACAAATGCTTGAAAGATTGAAAATCTTCATGTTTTCACAATCATAGGGGGTAAATGTATGTGAGAAGTTATCCGCCTTATTCTTCAATTTGTACTACATCATATGTATCCAATTCTCGCGTCGGTCGCGGATGTAACAAATGCAGAAAATGCTATTGTGATACATATGTTTCACTTAGCACTCGACCAAGACAAGAGTGAGGTAAATTTTAATAATCTAACTTGGGATTGGAGAAACGAATTTGTGAACTTTTTGCAGTACGGTATCTTGCCTGAGGACAAGAAGAAGTCACAATTGCTTCGGTAAAAAGAAGCTTGGTATTGCATAATTCGTGAAAATTTATATCGAAAGATGCTTGGTAGACCTTTAGCATGGTGTCTCGACCCATCAAAACGGAGTATGTGATGAGATAAGTACATGAGGGGCATTGCGAAAATCATGCCGGGGGAAGATCGTTGGTGAAGACATTAATAAGACCAGGATATTATTCGCAAAAAATAGAAGAAGAAGCAGAAAACTTTGTAGCCAGGTGCGATAAATGTCAACAATATGCCAATAACATGCGCCGCCCATCAGAGCTGTTGCATTCAGTTATTTCACCATGGCTCTTCATGAAATGGGGCATGGACATTGTAGGGACATTGCCTCAAGCTAAAGGAAAGGTACAGTTTCTGTTAGTTTTGGCAGATTATTTTTCAAAATGGGTAGAAGCAGGTGCTTTTAAATAGGTGCGGGAAAAAGAAGTTAGGGATTTTATTTGTCGAAACATTATGTGTCGATTTTGGGTTCCAAAGGAATATATGACAATGGTATTCAGTTCATAGGCACGAAATCACAGAATTCTTTTGAAGTTGGCAGATCAAATGGATTACTTCCGCACCTTACCTCCCTGCGGCCAACGGATAAGATGAATCAACAAATAAAGTTATTATCAATAAATTGAATAAGAGATTAGAAGAATCAAAAGGCAAATGGCCAGAAGTATTACCGGGGGTGTTATGGGCTTATCGAAAGACATAAAAAACAAGTACGGGTGAGACTCCATTTTTACTTGTATATGGTGCAGAAGATTTGATTTCGATAGAGATAAGTGAACCAAGTACGAGGTACACGCATGTCACTGTAACGGCAAATGAGGAAGAGCTGCGAACGAATTTGGATTTGTTAAAAGAAAGGAGGGAAGCAACATTAATACGAATGGCAAATTAAAAGTAGATGATTGAATGATATTATAACAGGAAAGCCAATTTGAGGTATTTTAAGATTGGGGACTTCGTTCCCAAGAAGGTGTTCTGGTCAACGAAAGCAACAAAAGCATGAAAGTTGAGTCCAAATTGGGAATACCCATATAGAGTTAAAGGCATCGCTGGAAAATGAGCATACGGGTTAGAAACCACGGATGGCAAGGTACTACCATCGAACTGGAATGCAGTTCATTTGAAGAAGTATTGCTTCTAAACGAGGAAAATAC